ATATGTGAACTGCTGTATGAAAAGTGAATTTACTCTGTAAATCTTCACCCAAATCCTAATTAAAAAAAACCCTCCAACAACCTTCCTGTCATCAAAGTAATAGCTGAAGTGCTTATAATGACCTATAAGACCCTACCCAATCGGCCACATTAGCTCTCCAACCTCATTTCAATTTTTATTCATTTCACTCTATCTACATTCCCTTGCTCTGTTCCTAAACACACCAGTTCTTGCTATTCCCTGCCCAGAACACTCTTCCCAAGATATCCCCAGTAATCAGGTCAATCTCAAATAATACCTCATCAGTGACATATAAGTAGATATGTCAAGTGACCACTATACTTCAAATTGTAACTCCTACCCTATCTTTGGCACTCCCTTTGTGACTGCTTTATTTTTCTCCATAGCACTCATGCCATCTACTAACCCATACATTTTGCATATTTATTTTCTCTTTCCCATAGAATGTGAGCTTCATTCTAGACTATTTCGTTCCCTGTATTCCCTATAACTAGAACAGTGCCTGACATATAGTAGACAGCCAATAAAAATTTACTGAATGGATGAACTAAACTTATATCAATTTTACCTCAATTAATCTAAATCCAACCATATTATTGAAACAATAATTTCCCCACCGATGAATATTTAGTTTTCAATTTTTCATTATTCTCACAGTGCTATAGGTTTATTCTTAATCATGTATATTACTGCATATGTCTATTTCCCAAAGGTAAGTTTCCTAGAAATACAATTTCTGGAACAAAAATTATACCTATAAAAAATATTGACAGATATTGTTAACTGTCCTCTCAAAAAGTTACTCTAGTTTATACTCCTACCAACAGTGAATGAGAATACCTGTGTCTTCGTATCTTTCCAACATTGTATAATACCAATCTTTTAAAATCTGATTGAAAAAAAAAAGAAACCCACTGCTGTCGAGTCAATTCAAACTTATAGCAAGCCCAACTGGGTTTCCGAGGCAGTAAATCTACAGAAGCAGATTACCCAGTCTTGCTTCCACGGAGTGGCTGGTGGGTTTGAACCCCCAACTTTCTGGTTAACAGATGCCTTAGGCACTGTGCTATCAAAGCTCCTTTTTAAAATCTGATGGGTGAAAAAATACAACCATTTTTTGCCCATGAGATTTTAAAAAGATTTAGAGATTGCTATTATACTGGTAGCATAGTGCCTAAGGCACTTGACTGCTAAGCAGAAGGCTGGCGGTTCAAATCCACCAGCCACTCCTTGGAAGGAAGGTTGGGCAATCCTACTTCCGTAGTGATACTGCCTCGGAAACCCAAGGAGGGGTCGCTATGAGTCAGGGCCGACTCGATGGCAAATAACAACAACAATTATACAATGTTAGAAAAATACAAAAAAACAGTACTTAATCATGTACCACATGTAGTAAGATACATATAAATTTTGGTACATCCATATTATGGAATATTTATGGCTATTAAAAACAATAAGAAATATACTGACATGGAAATACTCTAAAACTTTTTATTTTGTGTACTTACACACTGAAGTTTTTACACCAAGCATATTATTATTTGTGCAATACCTAAATATGTTTAAACCAAGAACTGATAGAACAGGTAGACAAAATAGCAGAATGACAGAAATAAGCCTAATCTTACCAATAACTGCATTAAATATAAAGAATGCTTTGTACATTTGTATATGGTTTTAAAAACAATAAAACAACAAGCAAATAAAACAAAGAAGGGACCATATGAATGAAATTTTCAGTGATATATTTCCTGACAGTTTTGTTTATTCAAATTAAGAAAGAAATTTTTAATATTGGTCACTTTTGGTCAAATGCAGCATTTATAATACCAACTTACTTCCTTTTTTTTCCTTACTATTATAAATTGAATTGTCTCCCAAAAATATGTGCTGGAGTCCTGAATCTCGTTCCTGTAGATAAAATCCCTTTTGGGAACAGAGTTTTCTTTATTAGATTAATAAGACCATATCAGTGTATGGTATCCAATTACTTCTAAGTGATAAAAAAAGCTGTATAGACTCAGAAGCAAACAAGAATGGGAAAAAAGATAGATGCCACATGGAGATCACCAAGGAACACCCATACAAAAGCTAGAGAAGCTGAAACAAAGATTCCCTCCCTGCTCTCCGACAGACAGAACCTTCTCCTCTTCCTCTAGAGCTAGCACCCTCAACTCGGACTTCCAGCCTTCTAACCTGTGAGGAAATAAATTTCTGTTCTTTCAGGCCACCCACTTGTGATATTTCTGCTACAATATCAATAGATAACTAAGACACTTACCTTGTCAATACTTTCTTCAAGGGATTCTTTAGACTCAATGAAAGATAAATGCCTGATAAAATATCCAAGCAACTTCGAATAATCAGATCACATGTACCATTTTTATCTTCCTTTTCTAGTAAAGGTACAATCTGTAATCCAGAAATTGAAACCATAGTCACTTTTTCTAATATCAAGTACAGCAAACTAACATGGTTCCCAATAACCCACCGCCATCAACTCCAACTCCTACAGGGTCACTATGAGTTGGAGTGATGACTCCAAATATTCTTTAAAAATCTCAATTATAATATATGAAATGTTTTCCATACTGCACTGTTAATATTAAGGATTCTGATTTAAAAACCTATCTTGGTACTTATTAATCTTTTTAATCCATGCCCCCAACTCCCACTTAACCCACCAAATCCATCTCCATTAAGAATCACAGATCTCAATGATAAGATATAGGAATTCTGTAAAAGAAAGAAACATTGTCAAATTGAAGTTGATTCTGACTCACAGCAACCCTATACGACAAAGGAGAACTGCCCCATAGGATTTCCAAGGCTGTAATCTTTACAGAAGGAGCTCTGGTAGCATAGTGCCTAAGGCACTTGATTGCTAACCAGAGGGCTGGCAGTTCAAACTCACCAGCCACTCCTTGGAAGGAAAGTTGGGCAATCTACTTCCATAGTGATACCGCCTCAGAAACCCAAGGAAGAGTTGCTATGAGTCAGGTCCGACAGCACATAACAACAACAACAATCTTTACAGAAATAGACTGCCACATCTTTGTCCCATGGAGCAGCTGGAGAGTTCAAACCACCAACTTATTGGTTAGCAGCCAAGTGCTTAACCACTGCACCATCAGAAATGCACAATACATTTAGTTGCTTTTAATAGTGACATACTAATGAGGAAAATCTTTACACTTTGAATTAATTTTAAATGCACCTGCTAAAATGTTTTGAAGACTCAGCATAACAAAATGAGTACATATCACCACCAAAAAGGTATGCCCAGTTATTGCATTATCCTATCTGATTTACAGTTTCAACTGTAGTTAAAGTCTGAGTATGGTTTCTATTACCTCTTTAAATAAAAATATATCATTAATGAATAGAAAATTAAAAAAATCTATTCTTTCATGATACATTGGTAGCTAAAAATAGCCATTTCTTTTAAAAAGCCCATAAATAGCACGATAATACTTAAGATGAATCTATAATTGTTAATTCAGTCTTACCTGTTTAATATAATAGATTTGTGACACTCCATCTGTGAGTTGTACACAATGTAATAGCAGGGAAGCTAGATTTTTTCCTTCCACATCAGCAAAAGCTACATAACACAAAAAAAAAATTCTTCAATGACATGACAATATATGTATATTGTTCACCTCTGTTATTCAATTCTACAAAAGTTAAATATTTATAAACAAAAAGAAAGGCAGAAGATAATTGGAATATACTATTTTAAAGAAACTATTATACTAAAGAATATGGAAATCTAAAGAATATGGAAAAATTAAATAGAAAGAGTTTGAACAATTTGTGAGATGGTCTTCCTAGAGATTAAAATACTCTGCTTACAAACTAGAAAGCAAATACATTCAACAAGTAAAGTCAGAAATCACTTACATTTCAAAGTTTCAAGGTCCTGATGACAAATGGTCAAGGCAGCAACTTGCGTTTCTTTCTTCTTCTTTACACCCATTTTAAACAGATTTAGTAACAGTCACTGCAAGAAAGAAGTTACAGTACTGTCTAATGCAGGGTTTCTCAATCTCAGCACTACCAACATTTTGGGCCACATAATTCTTTGTTGTGGGGCCTGTCCTGCATTGCAGCATATTTAGCAGCATTCTTGCTCTCTATTCACTATATGCCAGTAGCACCTTCCACCCAGTTGTAACAACCAAACAAATGTCACCAGACATCGCCAAATATCCCGAGAAGAAAACTGTCCCAGGTTTAAAAACCACTGGTCTAAGGATTTCTGCTTTGAGAAAATAAATAAAAAACTTTTTTAAGCTTTAAGACAAAACCAAAAACCCCACTGCCATTGAGTCAATTTTTACTCATGACTTAAGAAGAGTTCATCATCGTCTAAAGTTACTTTTACCTACTGTGACCCAGTCTTTGAATTTTAAAATATAGCAAACCTTCATTTTAGTATACACAAAAGAAACCAGGATAGTACTTCCAAAAATAATCTGGGCCAAACTAACCTCAATGACTCACTAGACTGACAGATCAGGAGGTATCAGAACACTATATTTTGATTTCTGCAAAGTACTGTTAAAGGATATTCTTATACTGACCTTCCAGGTGTGGTTTTAGTTAATAGGTCAATGGTTTCATGATGGGCTGAACTCAAAGACTACAAACAAACAGACACATGTCATGTGCAGCAAAGTCTCTAGGGAAATGGCACAGGGTTCCTTTTTTGGTGCAGTTAGTATTTTTAGCAATGTTTATGGTGCAAACATTGAAGAACATAACAGTGAATTTACAAAAGACATAAAGCTGGGAAGATGTGTTGGATGGTGGAATCAGGATTAAAAACAACCCAATAAAATGGAATGAGTAGCATGAAATTTACCAAGGTAAAATAGAAATCAATGTAAAATGTTGAATTTAGAAAAAAAATAAATAACAGAAATATAGGATGGGAGGTAAAAGCCGTGACTGACAAAAACCACAATAGACATCATCCAGATCAAGGGAATGCATTATCCCTTCATCTCCCACACATATCAGGTGACGTGTGGAAGATTATGTGCAATGCTGATGGTCATACTTTAAGACCAAACCAAACCAAACACACTGCCATCAAGTCAGATCTGACTCATAACGACCCCCCCCCTTGGGTTTCTGAGGCGTTGTCACTTCGGAAGAAGATTGCCCAACGTTCCTTCTAATGATGGGTTTGAACCACCAGTCTTCTGGTTAGCAGTCAAATGCCTTAGACACTACACCACCAGACTCCCATACTTTAAGAAGGGACCATAAAAACAACAGAGCTGTCAATGAACAGCAGATTTCTGAAAGGCCTAGAGCACACTAAGTTAACCAAAGGTGTCTGGCCTAAGAAAAGACAACAGGACAAGTACCTTAAAAAGTTGTAGGACTACTACGGGGAAGGAGAGAATAGATTTCTTCTGTATTGCTATGGGATTAGGAAAAGGCAGTGAAATCTTCAGGGTAGGGAATTCCAGCTCAAGATGGAAGAACTCATTGGTCCAACTACAGAACGAGCTGCCTTTTAAACAAAGAATTTCCCAGTACTGGGAACATCCAAAGAGAAGCTGAGTGAATACTTTTCACCCAAACCCTTGCAACAGTCGCCAAAATCATTTTTTGAAAGCCCCAATCAAATCTAATTACTTTCTTGATTAAAACTTTCCAAGGGCTTCCAATTATTTTCAGAATAAATTCAGAACTCCTGACCACGGCCTTCAAGGCCCTAAATAATCTGGCCCTGAACCCTGGTGGCACAAAAGTTTAAGCATTCGGCTGGTAATTGAAAGTTGGCAGTTTGAACATACTTAGTGGCTCCACAGAAAAAAAGACGTGGTAACCTGCTTCCCTCAAAGTCCTTTGGGACAGTTCTACTCTGTTACTTGGGGTTGCTATGAGTCAAAATGAACTCGAAGGCACCCAACAGCCTTTTTTGTACTTCATCTCAAACCAATCTCAACTTTACCATCTCAGAGGCTTTTCAGTTCCTGATCCTTATTCTCATATAAGGAGTGTGCACTTCCTGATCCTTCTGTCTGTTAATGCTCATCCCACCAGATCTTTGCAAAGCTGATTCATTATCATTCAGGTCTCTGCTTGAATGGCATCTAAGAGAACTCTTCCATGATCACTCCATCTCCTACACACATACACCATTCCTACATATACACTACACACGATTTCCATCACTGTATTTTCTTTATAGCACTCGCTACTACTGAAATTACATTAACTTTACCTGTATAGACTGTCTCTGCTAGTAATAAAACTCCATAAAGGCAGTAACTTTTATCTATTTTCATTGTTTGAATTCTCAATGCCTGAAACAGTACCTGGCATAGAGCAGATGCTAAACAAATATTTGATGAACAAACATTTGTCAGAAATACTATGGAAGTGATCTAAGTGACAGGCTAATCCCTGACACTGAAGAACCTAAGGTCTATTTGGGAGTTAAGAATTCAATACAGGAGTAGCCTGTGAACAAACACCTAATGGAAAATGGTAATAAAAACGGACACAGCTAGGAAGGCATCGACAAAGAAGAAATTTGAAACATATGATCAGATATCAGAAAATAAATGGTAATCACTTCCTAGAGAAGTGACCATCCTACAAAGTTAGCTAATGGGGGAAACTACTCTGGTAAACGGTGGGTGAGTAGATCTGCAGCAAGAGCTGACCTTGGAATCTTCGGGCTTGCACACACACACACACACACACACACACAAAAAAAGTCCAGCACTTATGCGTGTTCTGTTGATGTTAAATGTGTGTCCTGATGCACTGGGCCTCCTCAATAGGAAAAATCCATGTCCACTTTAATGCTCTCCCTAAGTGGCCACACGGTGCCCAGCAAATTATATTCCTCGTGGGTCACACTGGCTGTTTTTGCTTCACTCCCATCTACACCTTCCTGGCTAACTCCCTCATTCTATCCGCGATTCCAAAATACTTGGAGTCCGGGGAATGTCAGGAAACAAAATGGTTAAAGTTCTGTCTCCATAGAAACCTTAGAGACCGGAAACAAGTTTCGCGACCGCCAAATTCTCGCGATACTAAAGAATTCGAACTGGTGTGCAACGCTGAGCTGCTACGAAAAACTGGCTGCTCCCAGTGGCGGAGAGTGGCGCAGGGCCGCGAGTCCAGCGGGCAGGCAGTCTGGGAGCCAAACCTCGTGCCTGTGAGCGTCTGAGAAGAGTCACAGCTGCCTGGATGAGTCCTGGAAACTGGTAGAATCCTATGATGTCTCCGTGGATCACAACGTGGTCTATACTTGACTACCGGGTCGACGCGAAGGGAGCGAGAGGGAGCTAGGAAGAGGAGTCATCGCGAGAAATGACCGAACACAGCTCCTCCAATCAAGAGTTCGGAGATGTCACGGAGAAATGGGCGTTACAGCCCAGATTTGGTTAGAAGCTAATTTTAAAGTAAGCGCAGGTGCTACAGTGCAGCTCTAGGGCTACCAGTCGATTAGGATGTCTGGCCACCTCATGTCCTTTAGGCGTCCTATTCTATAGCCTGTACAGGCCGCAACATCTTTCTCTCAACCCAGATATTCCAACTTTTTTCCGAATGAGTTTACCCGACCCAAAGTTGAGGAGACAACTAACTGGTCCCTGGTAGAGGGGAATGATGAGTTCAGTGCTTTTAGTGCCTGCTGATGGGGTAGGGCGTTGGGTGGGTATTGAACCAAAGCCACAATAAGAATTTTAACCAAATTAAAAAAGAATTTTAACCAAAATGAGAAGTGCTGAAGTGAACTAAGGATGCCAAAGTGCATTCATAAATTCAACAAATGGTTAATGAGCTCTATTGTAGGGTCGTTGACAGGTCTGGCGTCAAAATGCATCCCCTAATTAGGATGTATATATGATTTTTTTTTCCCCCGCAGATAATAGAAATCGTCAGATGACTCAAACCGTTAAAAAAAAAAAATTAACTGTCAAAAACTACACTAGGAACTGGGACAGAGCCAAGCTCAGGGAAAAGATGTGAATACTATATCTTCAGGAACATTACTATGGGACTTGGCTGAGAGACATTTCTGTTCCCTAAAACTTTAGTCACATTGATGATTTTTTTTAACTTTTCAAGCATTATTTTTATGAATTTCATCTCATCTTAATTTTCTTTACAGTTTACCACGTGTTGATGTTACTAAATAATATTCAGTTTGATTTTTGAGCTCTGTTTATGAACTCATATATGTATTCTCCAGTAGTTTGCTTCTTTCAGCATGACTTTCAGGATTCATCAGCATAAAAGCATGCTGCTGTAGTTCTTTCCTTCGCTTTGTATAGTATTACCATGTTTAATATACCCCCATTTATGTATCCTTCCTACTACCTCTGGACCTTGGATTGTTCTGAGATTTCGCTGATACAGTGCTGCTGTGAACTTGCTTGTGCATGTCAGCTGATGAGTGTGCAGAACATTTTTCTACAGCAGTATATTTTCAAATATTTTGACTGAGACTGATAGTAAAAAATACATTGTACTTTGAAACCAAATACATATATGTACACACACATATAAATGAAAGAAAAATTTTTTGAAATATTTGTTGCTCTTAACAGAAGCTATGATACATATATATATTTGTTGTTGTTGTTGTTGTTATGTGCCGTTGAGTCGGCCCCGACTCATAGCGACCCCTCCTTGGGTTTCCGAGGCAGTATCACTACGGAAGTAGGATTGCCCAACCTTCCTTCCGAGGAGTGGCTGGTGGGTTTGAACCACCAGCCTTCTGGTTAGCAGCCAAGTGCTTTAGCCACTATGCTACCAGAGCTCCTTGTATATACATATAAATATATATTTATATATATATTCATATATATGTGTGTGTATATATATATATATATATATACACACACATATTGTTTCAAGCTTACTAAAATAATTACTTAGCCATCAATGGATTGCAGCTCTTGTTTTTATGTTGGCTGAACTATTTGAAGGGAAGGCGCAGACATTGTAAGTTTTCAC